TACACCCTTGAGGAAACTAACTCTTCCTCCCTGAGAAGCCATAAACCGTCCCTAGATAATCCATTAGGGAGGCTCACGAACCCCCTTCCACTCCATACTAGAATGCTGAGTGTCAAAAGCTCTTTGGCCTCATTTAGGGCAGTGTTTTTCTGAAGTAGGGGGTGGCTAACACAGAAACTCACAGCTAGTCAAACTGCAGAGCATAAGGGACTGTGGGGTGCACATCAACACAGAGAGAGAGAGAGAGAGAGAGAGAGAGAGAGAGAGAGAGAGAGAGAGAGAGAGAGAGAGACGCAGAGAGACCATTCAAAGAGGGGGTAGACTGTAAGACCCAGAGGTTGGGAGAACCAGAAATGTCTTCTGGACATAACAGGAAGTTCCACTCATAGTTCACGGTAGCTAGGGCTGCCTACACGAATCCCTTTTTGTTGATATTTTGGTTTAATTTATTTGGTTTGGGGTTTTTCTGGGACAGGGTCTAGCTTAGGTAGCCCAGTGGCCACAAGTGTGTGATGACCATCCTGCCTCAGACTCACCATGGCTTGGGTTACAAGCATAAATCACCACACCTGGGTCCTTCCATAGTTCTTAAACATGCCAAACACTTAGCTGACTTATAAGAACTGCATCAGATGCTGACCGGGTGTACTTATATAAGTGACCTCAGCCACACCACATGACACACTAAATCCAACCACATGAGCTCAGTCAACCCACAGAATCACCAGAATTAAAAGCCTGTCGCTAGGCAAGGCCACTAAGTTCTGGAGTGATTTGTTGCAGAGAAATGGCTAACAACAGCTGTGTTCTATCATCACACATCTAAGCTAAGCTTCATGTTAGATACAGGGGGTCCACCCAGAAGAGCGGACCCTGAGAGGTAAATGAGCCAAAGGGCACCACACCCAGCAGAGCGGAGCCTTCAGCCACTGCCCTCACCACATCGTCTCCTGAGTGGCCACTGTGTCAGGGCTGGAAGGACAGGCTGCTGATGAGACATTGGGCCTCGGATTCCGATGGGCTGAGATCCTGGCTCTCCTGCCTGCTAGCTGGGGGAGCTTGAACAGTTACCTAGGCTTTTCCGAGCCTCAGTTTCCCTACGATGTGAATGAGTCAGTCATGATGACTTCTTAGGCTGCTTGGAGGAGTAGAAATGACACTATTATTCAGAGCAAATACCCACAGGTATACACACACACACACACATACACACACACACACACACACACAGACATATATACATACATACATACACACATGTGTGTGCATAGACATACAGAGTAAAAGAGAGAGAGAAAGAGAAAAAGGGAGGGAGGGGGAGAGGGAGGCAGGAGGGAAGGAGGGAGAGAGAGAGAGAGGGAGGGAGGAATCACTTGCCAAGAAAACTCCTATCCGCATTTCAACCTTTCTGTTTGTTTGTTTGTTTTTTGTTTTTCGAGACAGGGTTTCTCTGTATAGCTTTGCGCCTTTCCTGGAACTCACTTGGTAGTCCAGGCTGGCCTTGAACTCACAGAGATACGCCTGCCTCTGCCTCCCCCGAGTGCTGGGATTAAAGGTGTGTGCCACCACCGCCCGGCTCAGCAAACCTTTTACAGATGCCACGTTTCCGAGAAAGTCTACCTAAAGGACTCCATATGGGACTGCTGCCGGCCTCCCCACCACTGTGTATGCTCCTGGTGTGAAATATGCATCACCCACTGAAATTACGCTAACCTCGTCACCATTAAATGTTGGTCTCACTCTCTAAAACCCATCACCTTTACCTAAAACCAGCATGTGGGTGCACACTACAAAGAAGAGTGTGTGTAGTGTGGTGTGTATGGTTTTGTGGGGGTAGATCTGCTCCAGGAGAGTTCAAAGGGGAGGAGGACACGCCAAGAAGTCATCTCTGACGTTCTAGACGGTCAGTAAAGCCTAGACCAAGTACCCCTCCATTCTGAGAAGGCAGAGGTCTCCCTTTCATGACGACAATCCCTCCCCAAGGAGCAGTTACAGTCTGCATCTTGACTGCTCCCCACAGGCTGTGTGTTAATGGTTAGGTCCCAGGGCAGCCCTATTGGGTGGTGGTGGACTCTGGAAGAAGTAGAGAATTGTGGGAAGAAGCTCTAAGACAGTGAGTACCTGCCCTTGAGTTGGATTATGGGACTCCAGCCCATCCACCCTTTTGCACTTCGCTCCCTGGCTCAGACCCAAGCAGATTTGCTCCACCATGGGCTGGAGATGTTGCCCCTCCACAGGCCCAGAATGGCCAGGCAACTGGGGTGGGAATTTCTTGTCAACTTAACACAAAGTAACATCGCCTGGAAAGATGGAACTTCAGTTCAGGAATTTCATCTTTCAGACTGGCCTGTGGGCATATCTGAGGGACAATTCCTTGACTAATGATGGATATGGGAGGGCCCCACCCACTCTGGATGGTGCCATCCCTGGGCAGGCTGAGCAAGGCGTGGAGAATAAGCCAGTGATGCCCCTCCATGCCCTGTGCTTCAGTTCCTGCCTCCGGGTCCCTGAACTGAGATTCTACTTTGGCTTTCTTCAGTGATGGACTGTGATGGGGAGCGGTAAGATGAAATGAATCCTTCCGTCCCCCAAGTTGTTTTTTAGTCAGTGTTTTATCACAGCAACAGAGGAGCAAACTAAGACAGAAACTGGTACAGAACAGTGCGATTTTGCTGTGATGCACCTGACCATGTTGTTTTGGGGGGAGAATTGTGGAAGGATTTTGGAGCTTAGGGCTGGAAAAGGTGGAGTGTTCAGAGTTCCATGAGCTCTTACAGGAGACCGGAAGAAAGGTAGCTGAGCAAACCAGGGAAATTAAGCCAGTAAGCAGCATTCCCCCATGGTCTCTGCTTCAGTTTCTGCCTTGTGCTCCTGCCTGGACTTCACGCAACGATGAAATGCAGCCTGTAAGCTGAAATAAACCCTTTCCTCCCCAAGCTGCCCCTAGCCAATGTTTTACTACAACAGAAATCCAACTAGAACAGGTCATCAGGGACCGGAGCCTTCCTCACAGTGAACCGGTACAGACATTTTCTCCTTGCAAGTTCATTATCCCCAGTATTTCATCACGGAGGAAAAGCGACCAACACAAAAAGCACTAGGTAGCCACACTCCAAACTGCCAGTCTGAACAAAGCATGGGGAGTCAACTGTTTCTTCTATGTGCCTAGAAGCCTGGCCTAAGACAAAATGTACACCAGATTCACTCACTCATTCATTTCAGACTTTTGCTGAGGCCCTGGCAGGTACAAGGCACTTTCTAGCTTCCAAAGTTCAATGAGCTATTCCTCAAAAAAAAGAAAGAAAAAGAAAGGTCTCCAAAGCAACACTGTACTGAGTACCTTACTCAACCCTCACTAACTTGGGTCCCCAGCTGTGTCTCCCTCAGTAATGGAAGCTCTAACCATTTTCCCAGCACTCCCTGGGTCTAACTAACTTCAGCCTATACAGATCCCATGCTACATGCCCGAGGGCAGCTGCAATCATGCCAAGTCTTGGTCAACACTGTAAAAGCTGAAGGGACTTTGAAGATGTATGAGTACAACT